CCCCGCCCCAACCCACTCCATGGCTTCTTGGCTAAAACGCTTGCTGCTTGGCGGCACGCTCCAGGGTCCCTGGGCTTGCGAGAGGACACGTTCGCAGAGAGAAAAAGAGGAAAGGAACAGCCGAATGTCAAAGTCGAGGTTGCCGCCGGGGAGAGGGGCACACAGCCAGCTGGCTTCCCAATGGCCCCCACCGCCCGGCCCGGGTCCCTCTGCACCAGCTGGAATGATCATCGGAAGGCAGGGCGGGGTGTCAGAGGGCGCGGCTTCCTGGGTCCCGCCCGCCCCTTCCCAGGGTCAGCTCCGTCCTCGGGGCTCCAACTCTGGCTGGGGAAGCAGCTGTGTGGGTGGCTTGCTTTGTTTGTAAGAGTTTGACTTTTTTTTTGTTTGTTGCATTTTTTTTTGTACTTTTTTTTTTGTCATTTTACGTTTTTTTAATCCTCCGATAGGAGAGTCCAGAGGTACAGGTGCCAGGAGCCAGGGAAAGTTTGGGTGGAAAAACAAAATGAACAATAAAAAGAAAAAAATATATATATATCACTCCTCCCACTGTACCCCGAGGCCCGCCTGCGCCCCTCTGCATGGTGAGCACCAGGAAAGTCGAGTGTCCGACTGGTGGCGTGCGGTCAGCAGGCCGATACCAGGCCCTTCTGGAAGGGGCAGCGGCGCTTGGGCCGGGGGCCCTCCTCATCCTCGTCCTCCTCGTCCTCTTCCTCCTCCTCCTCTTCCTCTGAGGATGACGAGCTGTCCAGGGTGAGGTCCACCACGTCAGCTCCCGGCTTCCCATTCTCGATGCCGCCCGCCACACCGGGCCCACTGCTGACACCCCCCAGCACACTGCTGCCGTTGACACTGGGGGGGGACAGGAGCCCGTTGGCATCTGAGGCGCCTGCAGGTGACAGGGACAGACGCTCAGGATGGCTGCTCACAGAGGGGGAAACTGAGGCCGGCGAGGGCTGGGGAGCCCTGGGACCTCTTGTCCCCTTCATCATGTGGCAGGCCCAAGGAAAGGTCTAGCCGGACCTGATGCCGCCGGGTCCCCAGCACCCTGTACAGGGCCCGGCACACAGCAGGTGCTCAACAACCGTGTGCCATCTCTACACAGCATGACACAAACACTCAGAAATCGCCAGCCCCCCAAGAACAGGCATTCAGGGAAAGCCCCGCTGGCCGGGGCACAGGGCTCTGGGGGGACTCACCGAGCACTAGGACAGGGCACGGGGGGCCGGGTGGGACTCATCGAGCACGAGGAGGGGACACGGGGGGCCAGGCGGGACTCACCGAACACGAGGACAGGGCACGGGGAGCCAGGTGGGACTCACTGAGCACAAGGAGGGAACACGGGGGGCCAGGCAGGACTCACCGAGCACGAGGACGGGACACTGGGGGCTGCAGCTGTGCTCCCTCTCGGCGCGGATCGGGCACCACGAGCCATCCACCAGGAACTCGATCTCGTCGGCGTCCTTGCACTCGCTCAGGATCTTGGAGAGGAGCCTGGGGGATGAGCGGGGCTGATTCCTGGGCCTCGGGCTCCCTGCTCCCCTCCCGGCCCCCCTGGGCTCAGGTGGACGCTCACTAAGGCACCTTCTCCTCTGCCATAGTGGCTTCAGGAAGCACCTGCCAGGGCCTGTGATCTCTTGTCACTCGGGCCTGCATAGGCTGGGCTCCCAGAGGGATCTGCCAGACTGCTCGAGGGCCTGCAGTAACGCACTCGTCAGGAGGTGACAGCTGGGCGCAGGCAGAGAGAGCAGGTGGCTGTCCCTCGAACTGCTCGAGAGCAGGGGCCTGGGGGCGCCGCAGGATGGGCCAGCCCACCAGTGCCCTAATCTAGTGGCCCCTAGCTCCCACCTTGATTCTGTGCTGCCCCCAGCCCTACAGATGAAGAAACTGCGGCTCAGAGAGCTGGGGCACGTGGTCCATGTGAGGTGGAGTAGAGCAAAGCAGGGCCTGGTCACTCCCACTGACAACAGTGTCCCCAGGAGAGCGCCCACGGGGAGCCAGGCCCTGGGCACATTCCACGGAGGTACTGCTGGCCCAGCCCATTTCACAGAGAGAGAAACTAAGGCTCAGGGAGGGGGATGAGCTCCCTGAGGCCACAAGGCCTGGCGGCAGCAGGCCTACAATCCAATCCTACCCCCTGCCACTTCCTGGCCACAGGGCCTCGGTCTCCCGACCTGCAGAATGAGGGGAGCACTGTGCCCACAGGATCTGAAGAGCAGCCAGGTGTCCAGGCCTGGGGCGGGGAACACACTGGCTGCAGCAGCAACGGGCCCACCTTGTTCCCCAGCATCTGTTCACCGTCAAAGCTGCACCTGCCCCCAGATGACTTCAACCACCTCAGTCATGGTCATGCAGGAGGGAGGCCCCCATCCTGCCCTAAACACCCTCTGGGTCCCACCCCCACCCTGAGACCTTCCCTCCATCGTCACGCTTGCAGACCCACCACCCCAGGACCCTGGTGTGAACACAGCTCTTCCTACATTGCACTTCTCCCCCTGGAAAACTCCTACTCACTCTCCAAAGCCCAATGCTACAGCTCCTCTTCCTCCTCTAGGCAGAGCCCGAGCAACAGGAGCATCTGTGTCTGGCTTGGTTCCCCCCACCCTCATGCCTGTTACGAGTTCCCTGAAGCAAAGTCTGGGACAGGCCTTTTGAGGACCCCTTGATCACCAGCTCAGGGCTGGGGACGACAAGGTGGCAGAGCCTCCAGGAATAAATGAATCAAGGACCCCCTCCTCCAGGAAGCCTCCCTGGCTACGTCCAGGCCCTGAGGGCTACTAGGACAGTGGTCTGTGTGGGGCACGGCCACGCTCTCCAGCCCCGTCTGCACCTGGAGCTGTCAGAGCTACTGCCACCCGAGCCTGAGGGACCCGCTCTGGGCCCAGTGGGAGGGGAGCAGGCAGGCACCAGGCTGCACAGCTGCCAGGCCGGGAACAGAGTCGCCATTCAGGCCCAGCCCTCGTGCCCGGCCCCAGGGGCCTCCTCCCTCCACCCCGAGGCTGGACTGTGTGGGGCCAGTGGCTCGGCCTCTCTGGGGAGAGAACTGGGCTCAGAGCTGGCCAGATCTGGGTTCCAGTCCTGGCCTGGCCACCTGTGAGCTGGGGGGCCCTGGGCTGGTGTCGGCCCCTCTGGGCCTCAGTTTCCTCATCTGTAAAGTGGGGACAATTCAGGTCCACATCCCAGGATGGTCGGAACAGAGGACTTGGGAAGACCCTAAGCTTGGTGACCAGACAGAGACGAGTGCCTGCACTCGGGGACAAATTCACGCCAGCCCCTGGAGGTCGGGGCCAGTCCCGTCCCCAGGGCACACTCCCCGTGCCGCACGTTGCAGCCTCCACAGGCTGGGGGTCCAGAGTGTGGCCGCCCGCAGGCCCGCTCCGCCTGGGCCGCCTCCCCCGCCCGGCTCTAGGGACAGGACGTGGGTGTGGCGGGTGCCTGGCAGGAGCCAGTCAGTCAAGTGCTGGGCTTGGTTTCTGGAAACCTAAGACCCAAGCAAAGTTCCCCTTTTGGAAAAAGAGCCTTTCCCCCTTGTCTCCCTGTGTCAGGCCAAGGGGCCCCCATGAAGGGGACAAGGGGATGTGACCAGCATTTGGGGAAACGTGTGTCCTTTCCACCTTTCTACGTGGAGGGCCTGACTAAGGCCGTGCTGAACGCCCTTCGGGAAGCAGCTCCCTGAACCGTGCAGCAGCCTTGAGGCTGGGGCTCTCGGGTCCCCATTTTATGTGGGAAAAAACAGATGCCGAGAGCACACGGTCACATGGGGAGCCCCAGGGACCTGCTGGGTCCAGAGCCCCTTCTGAGCCCTAAGCCACAGTGCCACCGCCTGCCCAGCAAAGGCCCTGACAAGTCCCACGAGGATGACCCTGCCTCTCTCTGGATCCAGGGGCTGCCAAAGGGCACTGCTGGCAGTGTGGGGGCCCCACGAAGGCAGGAGCCTCAGAGGCCTCAGACGCTGCCCGGCTCCGTTCCTCCGTCCACGGAGGCCCCAGAGGCGAGGGCCAAGCCCCACAGGCAGGGAGGCCCCTGTGCGCCGCGGCAACTCACCCATCGATGATGAGCTGGTCGTAGGGGGCGGGCTTGTCGCACACTGGGCACATCCAGGTGGGCTTCTTCTCGTTCATCTGGAGGTAGAAGACGGCGTCGAAGCACTGCAGGTGGGCGCAGGTCTCCGCCCGGCAGGGCACCGAGAGCCGCATCTTCACCAGCTGCGGGGGTGGGGGGCAGCAGGTGTGAGCAGCGGCAGGCCCGGCACCGCCCACCCAGGCTATCCCCACGTGACAGGCAGGGGAGGGGGCCCCGCCCCGACTCACTGGGCAGATGAGGGAGACCCGCACGCCGGTGGTGGCGATCTCGCTGTCGGGGTCCAGGCGCAGTTTCTCTTTGACTGCAGAGAAGGCGGCTGTGTCAGCGGAAGGAACGGAGGCGCTCGCGGGGCTGGGGCCGCGGGGCAGGCTTTCTCCAGCAGCGAGCGCCCTCAACACCCCGTCGCAGAGGGGACACGGTCACCCTGCGAGCGCCCTGCATCCACTCCCAGGACAACGGGATGCGGGTTGTGCTCCGGAGCCCAGGGCTGCGAGGAGCGGCTGTGCAAAGGCCCTGGGCAGCGGCCGGTTCTTTCTGACGATCACCTGGCCGCACGGAGGCAGCGGGCCAGCCACCCTGCTGGGGTTCTTTATGACCCACAGGACTTTTCTGGAAAGATCCAGGCAGCAGGGCCACCGCTGTGATGGTCACTTCTGATGAGAACCATCCCCGAGGACGGCGGAAGTGAGGCAGGGCCACGGCCTCTGGCACCACACTGAGGGCTGGGAGGTGCCGACGCCCCACCAGGAGCGCCCCCCACGGGCCCTGGGGGGCAGGAGAGGACCCACGGGCACGCTCCCTTGACGACCAGTAGGAAGACGGCGGGCGCCCACCCAAAGCCACGCAACACGGAAAAACGCTCACGCCAGCAAGCAAGGCCCCCTCCGGACTGTGAACTAGCACTGGAGAAAAGACTGGAAGGAAACACGCCCAGCGCAGCCCTGTGCTGGGCCTGCAGGGGGCGCCTAGTCTCCCTCCTCCTCTTTCCTGCGTGTCCTGCCTTCACTGGCCCACAAACCTCGAGGGTGCAGGCAGTTAAGCTCCATCCCCAGACAGCTTGGGATGCAGGAGCCTGGGCCGCGCAGAGCGGAGGCCATCCTGCACAGGGATGGGGACCGCCCTTCCCTCCTCGACATGACTCCTGCACCCCCTCCTCCAGGAAGCCCCCTCTCCCGTCTGGCACGGAGTGGAGGGTGACTAGGCTGGGGGTGACCGCACTGGCTTGTCCCCCTCTGCATACGACCACTCCCAAGGTCATGGCAATCATTCACCCCTCAGTATGAATTTCCACCCCGTGGCTCCCGTCTCTGGCCGACAACGGCTAACAGTAGACCCAGAGGCCTCAGCCTGTCCAGACAACCATGGCAGCTAAGACTGGACACAGTGAGCGTCGGGTTTTAAGGCAAGACCACGTTCCCCCTCTACCTAATAAAGAGAACGCATGTGCAGCAGGAAGGGTTCAAGCGAGACCAGGAACAGGACTTCCCGACGGTGACTCGAGACAAACCCAGCAGCAAGACACCTAGCCTGGGGCTGGCTGAAGAAAGGACGCTGGGGGCCTCTTCAGGGCGAAACCTGACCCTCTGCCTGCACAGGGCCCCAGGGCAGCAGGGCTCAGGGCAGTGACTGAGAAGTTAAGGCAGGCCTCGGTGTGCCCCCCCACCCCGTGGGCCGCTAGGGCCGGGATGAGCCTGCCCAGCCCCCGCCAACCCCTGCCCCTGGCCAACAGGCACTCTGGTCAAGTCGGCCACTGTCCCCGCAGGGACATGGGCAGGTGGGGGGTGAAGAAAGGGCCCTGTGAGGGAAAGGGGAGGCAGCAGGGTGGGGCACAGAGGCTGAGGCCCAGGGGTCACAGCCCTGACTCTGTCATTGTGCCTCAGTGTCTCCCCTGACCAGTCAGATGGAGACATCGCCCGGCCGCACTGCCCAGGGCCACCGTGAGAAGCCACCCCGCGAGGACCTCGGGGTGACCAGAGAGGGCCAGCGACTTGCCCCAGGCCACACAGCCGCCCTGCAGAGCAGTTCCTGAGCGCCTGCTGTGTGCTGGGCAGCCGGGCTGCAGGGACGCAGGAGGAACAGGGCCAGTCCACCAGCCAGTCTCAGTGTTGGGGTTTTTAATGCTCTTTGCATCACACTCCCCTTTTTTAGGTTAAAGAGTACAAAAAAGCAAACAAGGCACGGTCTCACCATTTCTGGTCAGATCTGCACCATCGCCCGTGAATGCATCCTCTGCTCCCGTTCTCCGGGCCCCCGGCCCCCTGCCCACCCCACTCCCTGCAGGGCAGCCAGGTCTGCCCAGGACATCCCTCACCTGGGTGGGGTCCCCCTCTCCACGAGCCCTCCAAGGCCCCCGGCTGCTGCCCGGACCCCGGCACACCTCACCCCTGGCTCTCTGCAGCCGCTGGCTGGGGTCTGTGAGCGTACCTCGCCTGTCCCCGCCTCGGGGCCATGGCACTGCCGGCTCTGCTGCCCCCCCACCCAGAGACCTCCCCGAGCGTCCTGACCTCCGGGTGACGGACGGTCCCCAGCCGGACCCCGACAGACAAGCTCCTGTGAGGGCCGGGCCCACGCCCCACGCCCGGCCAGGGGAGCGGGGACAGCACCGGGGCCGCTCCCGCCCCAGGAGCCCCGGAGAAGGCCCGCGCTCACCCAGCGCCTTGCACAGCTCCGGGTGCTTGACCCCGATGGTCTTCAACCTCTGCAGCAGCTCCGAGGAAGTCAGCTGCCGCACCAGGTACAAGGCCACCGAGTAGCTCTGCGGGAGGAGAGGGGCGTCAGGCCAGAGGGGGTGGGGGAGCCGGCAGAAGGGAGGGGGGGCAGCG